TTTTTTAAATTCTATAAAATTTAAAGCATTAGTTGCTTCAAAATTGCAGGTTTCTTGTTATGTATGTAATCATGGTCATTTTTTTTTCTATTCTTTGAAGTAAGTTTGACTTTGTTTCCCTCTCACATTTTTACTTTATATCTTTAACCACTTTAATACTTTTATTTTAGAAGGATTACCAAAATACCGAGGAAGTATGTCAATTACGGACTTTGGTAAACAACTTGAGGGAGCTGATCACATTGTATAGGAAATATAACTGCAAATTGACCCTCTCTGATTTAGAGAAGGTAAAATTCTAGGCTCATCAACCTTATTATGCTTATTGTACCCAGTCGTGACCAGGGTCTGCATTTATGTCATCTTTCTTGTCTGTCACCCAGGAAAATACAACCACCATTGTGTTCCGAATGTTCGATAGAGTGTCGGCCCCAGAACTTATTCCCTCCATCTTAGAGAAGTCTATAAGAGTTTACATGAGGGAACATGACTTACAAGAGGAGGAACTTCTCTTGCTGTACATAGAGGTAACTTCTTTAGATCCAGCCATATTTCCAGGAACTGTTTAGCATACTATGGTATTAAATGTTCAACTCTTTAAGGAGTATCATGCTGGGACTCACACAGTACTTTGTAGGTTAAGAAAATGGATTAATTTGCTACTGAGGACCTTGAACAAGATAGAAAAATAGGAGCTGAGCATGGTGATGAGCACCTGTGACCCCAGCTCCTGGAGAGGCTGAGGAGGGAGGAACGCTGGAGCCCACATGTGGGAGGGCCTTTTCCAAAGCATTATTGTGAAATAAAAGGAAAATGAACTCAATGAATGTTGCATTTTTTCTTTTCTTTTGGCACTGGTTATTAAAGCCGAGGCTTTGTACATGCTAAGCACATACTCTAGCACCCAAGCCTAGCAATTATTTTTGTAGACACAATGCTGAAGTAATCTGATTTGTAGATCTTTCAAAAAATTTTTTTATGAAAATATAAAACAAAATTTCATAGTAAAATTATAAGAGAATAATAACAGTATACTGTATCATTACCTGCAAAATAGTTACTTTACTCAATACAGGACATAAACCAAAAAGATTCGTAGAACAAAAATCAAATCATAACACAAACTTTGTTTTTAGTGAACTAAGATAAACTAGTACTATAATTGAAGCACAGCATATATATTGAAATATTTCTAAAACAATGGAATATGTAATTTGGGAAAGTATATGAACTTCTCCCTGTTTCCTATTTAGCTCCTATTTTGCTCTTTGTGTAATATATATAGTGTGTGTGTGTGTGTGTGTGTGTTTCTTTTTGCGTACCAGCAATCAAATTCATGGCCTCACGTTTGCCAGGCAGGCATGGTGCCGCTGGAGTTACATCCCCAGTCCATGTTTCTCATATAAGAGAGGCCATGCAGTATTTGACCTTGTTTGTCTGACTTATTTCACTTAACATTATGTTCTCAAGCTGCCTGAGGATTTAAAAAATATTTTTTGGTACCGGGGATCAAACTTGGGACCTTGCACCTGGGAGGCAGGCGGCAGAACTACTGAGATAAATCCCCAGCCCCTAAGGATTTTTTTTTTACATTTTCTACATGTATAAAATTGAGCACTGGGCCAGGGATTTAACTCAGTGGTGCCACTGCCTGCCCTGCAAGCGCAAGGACCCAAGTTCAATCCCCGGTACCAAAAAAAAAAAAATTGAGCACTAAAGTTTGGACAATTTCCTTTTCGGTTTTTTGAGATGGTCTTGCCAGGTTGTCCAGGCTGGCCTTAAACTCACTATGTGGCCCAGGCTGCCCTTGAACTCATGGAGATCCTCTTGCCTTAGCCTCCCCTGAGTACTGGGATTAGAGACATGCACCACCATACCCAGTTTAATTTTTAATTATTGTTCCACATTCAATGACTATAGGATTTTGTTTTTGTTGTTTTATGAATCCATAAAGGCAATTTAAGTCTATCTTTGTGTGTTTGCAATTTTTTAGTGAGAAGTTTTAATATTTGAATATATATCCATGTTTATCCCTTCTTAGGATTTATTAAAGAGATGTAGCTCAAAGTCCACATCCCTCTTTGACACAGCTTGGGAAGCAAAGGCCATGGCAGTGATTGGATGCTTGTCTGATGCAGATGTGAGTAACATAAGTGATCATCAGGTTTCCCTTTTCAGCACTGGATCTTAAAGAATTTTTTCTGATCATAAGGAGACAAGTTTATGAAGAATTTATGTGGTATGAAAAAGAAATAAAAAGAAAATAAAAACCACTCATAATTTTATTAAAAAAAAAAAAAAGGAAATATTCCCATTCCCCCCTAGAGGAACTGCCGTGGACAAGTAAGTGCAGATCTCTCCAGGGTTTCTGTGGTTCAAACAGAGACATGTTTTCAATATGTTGTACTATTCCTTTAGCATGATATTACATTATTATTACTTACCATTATAAAACAATAAAATCATGAAAACTATTTTTAAACAGAGAGATACTGCCCACTGTAGAATGGCATAGACTGTATGATTCTGCCGTGTTTCAGCAGACATAATACTTTTGTGAAGTTACCTAAATAATAAAAGTGTCTTTATGGGGCCGGGGATTTAGCTCAGTGGTTCTGCCGCCTGCCTTGCAAGCGGAAGGACCCGAGTTCGATCTCTGGTACCCCCCAAAAACAGTCTTCATGTGTGAAAATGGGAAGAAATCACGCGTTTGTGGTTGGAAGGGCAATAGTCTCAAACTGTGGTAGATGCCAGCAGTGAAAGGTCCTGGGGAGCCGTCTGTTCTCGTGCGGTCTCTCTGCAGCTCATCTTCGACGCAGTGCTGAAGATCATGTACAAGGCCGTGGTTCCTTGGAGCGCGGCGGTGGAGCAACTGGTAAAGCAGCATCTGGAGATGGACCATCCCAAGTAAGGTTCCCGCCTGCCACCCTGCATCTGTGTAGCTTTCACATCCAGTTGCATTTTTTTGTTGTTTTTTTTTTGAGACAGGGTCTCTCTATGTATCCCAGGCTGGCTTTGAATTGACAGTGGTCCTCTGCCTCCCGAGTGCTGGGATTACAGGTTTGTGCCACCATTCCCGACTTCAGTTGTGTTTTTCATTGACTCCATCCCATAGCATTTCATTAAAAAGATGATCCAGCTGGGCATGGTAGCACATGCCTGTAATCCCAGTACTCAGGAGATTGAGGAAGAGGGTCGCCGAGAGTTTGAGGCCACCTGGGCTACACAGTGAGTTTTAAGGCCAGGCTGGTCTCCATAGCGAGACCCTGTCTCAAAAAAAAAAAAAAGACAATCCATGCTAATACCAATAAGTTTACTTTCAGAGTGAAGTTATTACAGGAGAGTTACAAACTAATGGAAATGAAGAAACTTTTACGAGGCTATGGAATAAGAGAAGTGAATCTCTTAAACAATGAAATAATGGTAAGTTCACTAGTTGAAGGATCTTTTTTTCTATTTCTTGGGCAACACAGGAAATTTAATGAAGATTTTATATTCTAAAAAGTTAGTAGAAAAAAAAGTCAGTAGAACTAGATTCTCCACTACTTTTCTTTTGTTAGGTACATTGTAAATAGGGTGTTTATTTATGAAAGTATTAAGGGCAGCAAATTGTAACTTAAGCTAAGAAAGAATGACAGGAATAACCCAAAATTCAGAATATAAATCATGTTTTCATCTTTCATACAGTTTAGTTTTTTGCTGCATTATTTTAATTGTATGGCTTTTTTCCTGATGAGCCAGTGATTCCTGGCTTCTCTGGGATCTTCCATGACGAGCAAAGCGCATATTGTCTCTATTTCAGAGGGTGGTCAGATACATTCTCAAACAAGATGTCCCATCTTCCTTAGAAGATGCTTTAAAGGTGGCCCAAGGGTATAGGTTGTCTGATGATGAAATCTACAGTTTAAGAATTATCGACCTGATTGATAGAGAACAGGTATGAAAGTTTATTGTTTCATAGGGCTCCTTTATTAACTAAATCCCTGGAAATAGAAACAAATCAAATTATTCAAATTGACTTTCACAAAGTATAGTTATACCAACATGAAAAACTATTAAAATGGCTGTTTTTTCCAGGTCTGTTAGTTTTTTAGGTGCAGTTAATGATTTCTTTTTATCTAATTTTTTTTTCAATTTTCCCTGGAAATTGAACCCAGGATCTTTGCATTGAGCTACATGCCTACCCTTTTTTTATTTTTCATTTTGAGACACTGTCTCGCTTAGTTGTTGAGTTGCTAAGTTGCCCAGACTGGGCTCAAAGTTGTAGTCTTACCTTAGTCTCCCTGAGTGCTGAGATTACAGGTATGCACCACTGTTCCTAGCTTACTTTTTCATATTTTTATTTCATGATTTCATATTTTCATGATAATTCTATCATGAAAGGCATGCCTAAGAAGTATACTTATCTTTAATACCTAAGGGTGTATTTTTTACTTTTATTTTTTGGGTACTGGGAATCAAACTTGGGAACTTGTGCTTATGAGACAGTCACCAGAACCACTGAGCTAAATCCCTGACTGGGTGTATTTTAAATTTACTCTATGGGTTAGGGATGTAGCTCAGTGGTAGAGCTGGCCTGCCATGTGTGAGGCCCTCAGTTCAATCTGCAGTACCCCCCCACTCAAAACAGAAACCTAAACTATAATCTATCAAAATATCTCTTTACCTTTCTTTCTTTCTTTTTTTTTTGGTACCAGGGATCGAACTTGGGTCCTTGCACTTGCACAGCAGGCAGCAAAACCACTGAGCTAAATCCCCGGCCCCTAAACCCGGGTCTCTTGCTTGCTAGGCAAGTAAGGTCAGGTTCTTTCTCTGTTTTTCTTGTCATCTTGAAGTAGAAGAGAACGAGGTAAGGCCAAGCTAATGACCCTTATCTCTGCCGGTTTGTAGGGTGAAGACTGTCTCCTCCTACTGAGGTCTCTGCCTCCCGAAGAAGCTGAGAAAACTGCAGAAAGAGTCATCATCTGGGCACGACTGGCCTTGCAGGAAGAGCCAGACAATTCTACAGAGGTGAGGTAGCGAGAAACCCAGTTCTTTTTTTATTTTTTTTGTACCAGGGATTGAACTCAGGACCTTGCACTTGCCAGGCAGGTGCTGTGCTGCTGAGTTAAATCCCTAGCCCAAGAAACCCAGTTCTTACACGTTACTCAATGGGATGATGGACTTAGGCTCCCATGAATGAACATTGGCCCATCTTACTACAGTGCTAGAGTTGTCTCAGCCAGGCACTGTGGTGCACACTTGTGATACCAGCATTTGAGAGTCTGAGGCAGGAGGATTGCTGTGAGTTCAAGGCCAGACCAAAACAAAAAACAAAAACTACTAGATTGGAGTCCTCTGAAAATTTCTGTATAAATTTGCTACATAGGAAAAACAACAACAACAACCACCAAATATGGCTACTTTTGAGTAGTTGATTTAGCCCACATGAATAACCCAGGATTTGTGAGTTAGATTGATTAACTGAAGTGGCCGTTGTACATAAAGGATTTTCCTTGGAAATACAGGACATAGACATTACTGTCAGATGTTATCTGCAGACCAACATAAAGGTAAATCATCTTAGTTCACACCCAGAAATGGTCAAAGAGAGCCATTTCACTTCTTTTGTCATTTATCCAGGATAGTTGAGTTTTTAAGACAAATGACTTTTCTGACAATATTTGGAAGTGGTACAGCCTCAGCTCAATCTCTGTCTAATCTGTTGTCTCTGCTCTTTGTGTGTACGTGCATGCATGTGCCAGTGTGTGCACATGCATGTGTGCTGGGGTGAGGGGCGTGCTGGGGCTTCACATGCTTCTCCACTGAGCTCAGCCAGCACCCACTTAGTGTCCTTTGATTCCATCTTCTCCCTTTTTTCCTTCTCTCTTTTTAAAAGCTTTATAATAACCACTGGAAGTAATAGTGATTATTTATTAGACTTATTTTTTTTGTTTTGAGACAGGGTCTCGCTGTATATAGTCTAAGCTGGACTCGAACTTGTGGCTATCCTCCTACCTCAGCCTTCCAAATGGTGGGATTACATGAGTGCACCACCATATGCGGCTAGACTTTTGTTCCTTAAGCTATTTTTTAGACATCTGTTCTTTTTAACTTTTCCTGAGACTGTTTCCAAATGTTTAGAGTAAGTAATTCTATAAAAAAGAAAGAGGGTCTATTAATCATAGTATAGTTGTAATGTTGAGAGATTTGTACATTTTCTGAGATTTCTAAATCAGATGTTGAAGAGCCCATACTAATGCTTATCATGTCTATCCTATATAAGACTGTGCTCCTAACATGGACCTCTCATTTTTCAACCACTTTCAGTGTTTTTTCTGATTTCTTGGGATTTTGTTTGTTTTGTTTTGTCTACAGTGCTGGGGGTTGAACCCAAGGCCTTGTACATGCTGGGCCGGCATGGTACCATTGAGCTGCAGCCCAGCTCCCCATGCCAGGCTCATTCTGTGTTTGCATGTGTCCTGCTGACACAGTCGGTAAAGGAAGTGCATTTCATTTTGCATGTTTCCTTCCAGGACCGGGCCTGGAGAATCTGTGTGGCAAAGACATCAGTGGACATCCTTAAAATACTGTGTGACACTCACAAAGGTAATTTCTATCTCTTGGCATTGTTTTGTCCCAGACCTCACCCTTTCAAACAAGGCACAGTGATAGCTTTCATCACACCCACAGTTTTCCTGCTTCTGTATTGACCTTACCTGTTTTTCCTCATGAAAAATCTTCCTTATTTTATCAAAAGCTTAACAACAAAAGCATGCAAAATCACCTTATCTTTTGCTGGTAAGTATGTGTCAGTGGTAGACTAGATTTTTTGGGGGGGTACCTTGCTCATTTTTCTCATGGATCAGTTGGTTATGATTGAGGCTAAATTTTTTTTTGGTACTGGGGATCAAACTCAGGACTTTGTGCTTGCAAGGCAGATGGTGGCGCCATTGAGCCAAATCCCCAACTAGGCTAAATTTTACATTTGAACTTGAAACAGTTAAGAAAATAATTCTTGGGCCAGGGGTTTAGCTCATTGACATCGTGCCTGCCTCACAGATGCAAGGTCCTGAGTTCAATCCCCAGTACTGAAAAAAAAAAAAAGAAAGAAAAAAGAATTCTTTTGGGGGAAAAACTACAATTTACTTCAGAATAATTGCCATTTTTCTATTTTTTTTTTTTTGGCAAAGTTTTTCTACGTTAGTAGTTTGAAATGGTCTTCCAATCTGAATCGATATTTCCAAATATAGTAGATGGTGAAGCAGGGTCACATGAATGGTTACACATAGGCTCTAGAGTCAAATTGTCTGAATCCACAGTCCTGGCTCCAATACCTACTACCCTTGTGGCCTTTTCATGACTGTTTTTCTATCTGTAAAATGGGCATAAAAGTACCTCCTATGAGTTTATTTCTGAAGTATATTAACAGCACACTAATTTATTAATAATAACGTTTTTTGGTACTAGAAATTGAACCTAGGGCTTTCACACTGAGCTACATCTCCAGCCTTTTCTATGTTTTATTTTGAGAAGGTTCATTAAGTTGCTATGGTGCTCTGGCTGGCCTTGAACTTTTTTTTTTTTATATATTAATTGGTACATTTTAGATATACAGTACATTTACATTTATCCTTGAGTGTTTGTACCTGAACATGATGTATCTTAGTTCTTATTTTTTCCCCATTACCTCTGCACCCTTCACCCCTATCACCCTTCCCTTGCCATTTTTCTTTAATTACCCTTTTCTACCTCCAGAGAATCGATTTCTTTTTTTCAAATTAGATCTTAGAACTCTTTTTGAACTTGTCTTGTATCAGCAACTGAAAAGAATTGTTAAAGAACCAAAGCTAATTAATACTTCAGCTTTTAAAAATTCTGATAATGTGGTATTTTACGTGTTTTCTATTACCATAACAAGTTCCTGAGATTGGGTACGGTGATTTGTAAGAATAGAGCTTTAGGGCCGGGGATTTAGCTCAGCAGTTTCCACTGCCTGCTGTGCAAGCGCAAGGACCTGAGTTTGATCCCTGGTACCAAAAAAAAAAAAAGACTAGAGGTTTATTTAGCTCAGAGTTCTGGGGACTGGAAAGATGAAGAGCCTGGCTCTGGCCTCTGCTTAGCATCTGATGAGGGCTCCTCGCTGCCTCAGAACAGCCCCAAGCGCAGCTCCTGTGGGACAGCGAGCTTGGTGCAAGTGCCAGAGAGACAGCTTTTATACCAAATCCACTCCTGCAGTAAACCATTAACCAGAGCCCTCAGGACCCGGTCACCTCCTGGTACCATTACCACACTTGTGTGTCTGGAGACACACACTCACAACATGAACTGTGGAATTTGCGTATGTGCTTTAACTTAAAATTTTAATTGCAGACAATCTCCAGAAGAAGGATGAATATGAAGAAATCCTGAAACAATTTAAAGTGGTTGCCAGCCTACAGGTAAAGATGTTGAGCTGTGTACCAATGTTATTCCTCAACCATGCATAGGAGATTTTAACAGATGTCCCTCCGTAAAGTTTTCTCCACTTACCTTCAGAGACCTTGTGTGCTGGTCCTCTTGATCTCTCTTTCTAACAATTGAGATGTAATACATTTAACTAATTTTTTTAAGTGTACAATTCAAGGCTTCTTGACATATTGCATTATTTGTTTTAAAAATTATAGTACTGGGGGCCAGGGATTTAGCTCAGTGGTTCCACTGCCTGCCTTGCAAGGACAAGGACCCGAGTTCAATCCCCGGTACCAAAAAAACATTATAGTACAGGTGGTACACGCATATAATCCTGGTACCCAGGAGACTGAGGCAGGAGAATTGCTACAAATTCAAGCCTCCCTGGGCTACATAGTGAGTTGAAGGCCAGCCTGAACTACATAGTGAGACCTTGTCTCAAAAAACACAAAAATATTATAATAAAATACATAATAACATAAAGTCCATTTTAACTATATTTCTGTACACAGTTCAAGGTCACTAATTACATTCACAATGGTGTCCAACCATCTCCTCTCTTTTTTTGGGGGGTTGGCGTTAGGGATTGAATCCAGGGCTTTGGGCATGCTAGGCAAGTGCTCTACCGCTGAGCTACATCGCCAGCTCCTTTTTTATTTATTTTGAGACAGGGTTTCACTAAGTTGTCCAGGATGGGCTAGAACTTGAGATCCTTCTTTCGCAGCCTCCTGAGTAGCTGGATTTATAGATCCATGCCACTTTCCTAGCTCTTTTTTTTTGCAGAACTGGGGATCAAACTCAGGATCTTGTGCTTATGATGCAGGCTCGGTGCCACTGAAAATCCCTGGCCCACTCTTCTCTTCTTTTTCATCATTCCATGCAGAAACTTGTAGCAGTAATTCTCATCGCTTTCTTCCTCCAGTTCCCTTTAATCTGCCCTCTGTCTCTATGATTTGCCTACCCTCACAATTTCATGTAAGTAGAATTATATAACTAAGAGTGTAATAAAGGAGTTCTGTGACCAAAAAGTTTGAGATCTGTTACACGAGACAATTGCTGTCTTTGTGCACAATTTGTCTAGAATATGACCATTAGTTAGCTTTTGCAATTCTGCCTTTCTTTCTTGTCTTGGCTTTTTTGTTTATTTGTTGAGACAGACTCTCACTATGTAGTCCAGGCTAGCCTCAAACTGTTGGTGATCCTCCTGTCTCAGCCTCCCTAGTCCTCGGATTATAGGTGTGCCCCACCACACCTGGTTCAAGTCTTTTTTAAATTTGAAAGTTATTGATATTATGGGCTGGGGATTTAGCTCAGTGGCACTGTGCCTGCCTTGCAAGCACAAGGTCCTGAGTTCCATCCCCAGTACCAAAAAAAAAAGAAAAGAAAAAAAGAAAGTTACCGATATTGTAAAGCTATGGTTTTTTGTTTGTTTTTAAGGTCTATCTAGTGGCTGTGTGTGTGTGTGGGTGTGTGCGTGCGTGCATGAGCATGTGATGTTGGGGATTCAAGCCTAATCCTTAACATGCTGGGTAAGTTCTCCACCTCTGAACTATACCCAGTCTGAAGCTATGAATTCCATCTGAATAAAGATGTATCTGTTTGCCATGCTACCATTGATTGAGCATTTATTGTTCTAGGCCTGTGAGACTCTGTAGTCCCCATGTTACCCTTGGGGGCAGCAGTTGTCTTCGTTATGCAAATGAGCCCACAGCTCAGCAACCCTAAGTAACTTGCCCCAGATTTACAGTTACTGGACCCTCAAATGGCACCAATTCCTACCGACTCCCGCACCCTCGTTTCTGCTGCTTATTGTCTCATTACGTTCATTACTTAAAATAAGATGATTAAATTCTAAGAGTACATACCCTATACAACTTACAAACCCTGTTGATGATACACGGAAACTGCATTCCTTTGGGAAAAAGTCCACACTAAAAGAAGAGGAACCTTTTGGTGGTTTAATCCTTTAAAGTGAAGACACTCGGTCATGCTTATATTTTATTTTTATTGGTACACTATTTTTTTTTTTTTTGATACAAGGGATCGAACTTGGATCCTTGTGCTTGCGAGGCAGGCGGCAGAACCACTGAGCTAAATCCCCAGCCCGTAATATTTTAGTTTTTGGGTTTTTGTTTTTTGGTACTGGGAATTGAACTTGGGACCTTGCACTTACAAGGCAGGCAGTGGAGCCACTGAGCTAAATCCCCGGCAATATTTTAGTTTTGAATAGATTGTACAGGCATATGATACATAGTTGAAAAAGTCTAAGAAAAAAAGATCAAAATAGTAAACTGCATGTTAAGTATATATTTACCAAACTAAAATTTTAAATTAATTAAATTATTATTTAAATATTTCTGTACTGCATGTTGTAGATAATAAAGAATTAATTGTTTGGTTCTTCCAAAAAAAGGCTGAAAACAGTATAGCCTGTAGTGAAAACTAAATTTCCCTCCTACCCTGACCCTCCAGCTATCTATCCAGTTTCCTATAGGAGCTGCAACCACTGTACCCAGTTTCTTGTGTATCCTTCCAGAAGTTCTTGTGTGTCCATTCAAACATAAAAAGTTCTGTAGTTCCTAGTAAAGAGTACATATAATTAGACATATAATTAGAGTTTTCAACAGCATATCTACAGTAAATACCAGTAGTGAGTTCTCATATTAATTTTTATGTATATTTTTCTGCATGGCAAGTCCCCTTCAGCAAAGATCATTAATGTTTTTGGGAGGAAAGCACTAGTTTGGAAACATTGTAACATTTTATAAATTTTGACTTTACTGTAGATGTGTGCTGTGCTTACATCAGTAATAATATTTATAGCCAGGCATGGTGGCACATGCCAGTAACTCAGGAGGCTAAGACAGGATTGCTTGAGAATAGGAATTCTAGTCCAACCTGGGGACCATAGCAAAAAAATTATTATATTGATGAAAACTAGTTACAGGAAAAGGGGGGATTATGTATTGTTAATTGGAAAGGTAATGTATGAAATCATACAATGCAGCCATAAAATACGAATGAAAGATTGAAAGGAAATGCTGAGAAAATGGTCAATGTTTATTAAGTTAAGCTTGTTCTCATGCCAGACAATATTTGATAAGTTGGAGTGGGTTTTTTGTTTGGTTTTTTTTTTGTACCAGAAATCGAACTCAGGTCCTTGCACATGCTGGACAGGCAGTGGAACCACTGAGCTAAATCCCCGGCCCTTGGAGTTGTTTTTGATTGTTGGGAGGACAGAGCTACTGGCATCTCCTGGGTAGAAGAGGACAGAAATGCTGTCAGCAGTCCTGTAATGCAAACAGGACAGCCCCCCCACCCCAGCAAAGAACTCTTTCTCTCCAAGTATTGTGGAGACGAAGAACCCCGCTGTACAATACAGCATCAGTGCAGAGCGTTTAATTCGCCCCCACTACCTCTTGGTGTCTTCTTCTTCTTGGTGGCTTCAGTGGGATTTTCTATTGAGTTGGGGAAATAAATGCTTGGTCTGGAGTTAGCAGCTAACCCGAAGTTATAGAAAAGAGCAAAACTTTTTGTGTTTGTTAAGCCTCTGGGATAGACTTACAGAAAACAAATGCTTAATCTCTCCATCTTTCTGATCAACTCCCCACAACATAATTATCTGGCCCAAATGTCAGCAGTGCTGAAATTGAGTTGTAGTTAAGTCTTTCTGTTTTCTAAGCTTTTATTGATTTTTTTCAGTACTGGGGATTGAACGCAGAGTTTTGCACATAGGCAAGTGCACTGCCACTGGGCTCCATCTTCGGTCTGTCTGAGCTTTTATAATATTGTTACTTTTGTAACTTGAAATTAAAAATCTGAAATTCTTAATTTATAAGGAAGTGGTCTCCAAGGAATAGGTGATAAATAGAAGTTGGAAACGTAACGATGATTTTTAACACTGGATAACCTGAACAGGACTTGAGACTTTGTCTTGCTTACATTTGTTGCAGGAGAACTTTGAGGTCTTTCTTTCGTTTGATGATTATAGCAACAGTGCCCTGCTAGCAGATCTGCGTGAGCAATACATTAACACTCACGAAGATGCCCAGGATAAGCCAGGCCTGAGCACCACATCAAAGCTGCACAGACAGGCACTCGCCCTGCAGGTGTCCCCGCAAGAGCTGGAGGCAGAGCTGGCCTGGAGAGCCTTAAGAAATGAGAACATTGGAGCAGTGCTGAACAAATGCAGGTGATGCCTAGATCCCAGCTTGTCTGAAAGGAACACTTGCTTTTTTTCTTTAATAATAAGTGCAGGGCTGGTGATACTTTTTTTTTTTCAAAAGCAATTGGGTTTTCACCCAGGAGCCTGCTTTGGGCTACTGTGTCAGAAAATAGTGGCATAAAAGGCAAATATCAAATACTGCAGAGTTAGGTAACTTAACCATTGAGTTTAGGCCATGTTTTTTGTTTTGTTTTTTTTTTTGGTACCAGGGATCGAACTCAGGTCCTTCCACTTGCAAGGCAGGCAGCGGAACCACTGAGCTAAATCCCCGGCCCTAGGCCACGTTTTGACATGAGTTTGACGTGGTGTTTCAAATAATTTGAAAATGAAACACACTGTATACCTTGAAAACATTTTAGAGACTTTTATGTGCTGCTGATAGTGGTTATATATACTAATACAAGAAAGGCAAATGCATTTGCTTTCCATACGAGTATTCCAGTTACCACTCTTCTTTCCTCCAAAGAGACTTGTTTAAGTATCGTTGCAACGCCGACACGGGGAAATTCCTGTTTCTGACGTGTCAGAAGATTTGTCAGATGTTGGCTAATGACGTCCCGGTGACAGCACCTATGGGCCTCAATCTTCCTTCTGAGATACATGACCTAGCGTGCCAGGCCGCTACCATCTGCAGTCCAGGTGACAAGATTTATAATGGCTTCTATTCTGTGATTCATTGCACACTTGTCTCCCAAATGCTCTCTGTTAATAATTGGGTCTTCCTGTAGCAGACAAGAATGTCTTCTCACAAAGGGACAACTGTAATTGATTCTTTGGGGATTATAGTCCTGAAATAATTCAGAATACTAATACTAGTGTCATTTCTGACTGTAGACAATACTCACTTTTGCAGGAGAATCCTCCTCTCCCCATATCTGATCTTGTAAGCCAATCTTAAGAAAATACTTGAGCCACATTTAGGGTAGTCAGAGCTATGTTGCTGGGTGTGGTGGTGCACACGTGTAATCACAGTGCTTGGGAGGCTGAGGCAGGAGGATTGCCACAAGTTTGAGCCCAGCCTGGGCTACATAGTGAGTTCAAGGGCAGCCTGAACTACATAGAAAGACCCTGTCTCAAAAAAAAAGAAGCTATGTGGGGACCTTTCTATTTACTTTGTGACCCTTGTTAGAATTTAGAGTGGGAACTATGAAAAGGTTGTTTTCATTATTCTAAAAATCTAAAATAGAAATTTGATGATTTTTTTCTACTTTCAGATTTTTTACTAGATGCTTTAGAACTATGTAAATGTACTTTAATAGCGGTGGAGCTTTCCAGACAATGCCAAATGGATGACTGTGGAATCCTAATGAAAGTAAATCACTTTTGAATTTTTTCCTTTAACAAAACCCCTACCAACCTATTATGAACTACTTTAATATCATATGCACAATTTAGAAAAATACTGAGTTTACCTCTTACATTTTCTTATTCTACACCAAGAGACTACTTAAAAGCATGAGACCATTTCCCTTTTCTAGTCATTTATTGGCTTTAATATATACTATCTTTTGAAACATTGCCCTCAATAGAGGCCTTTCTCAACATTTTTCTTTTGTTAGAGTTTAATTTAAAATGACATTTTTATAAGCCATATACAGAAAAAAGAACACCGTCACCCCTGGATATCCATGGGGGAAATTGGTTCCAGGACCCTCTTCCAGATACCAAACTTAAGGATGCTCAGATTTCTTCTATAAAGTTATGTAGTATTTCTTGTAACTTAAACCCATCCTCTCATATACTTCAGTAATCTCTAGATTACTTGTGATGCCCAATACTATGTATGTGCTGTGTAAATACTTGTTATACTGATTGTTTAGGAAATAATGACCAAAAAAGTTTCTTGTTGTTGTGCACAGTTTTATTTTTCTTAATATTTTTGATCTGCAGTCGGTTGAATTTGTAGCCGTGGAACCTGCAGATAGAGAATTGACTGTGCATGGTTGTATTTAATCATTAAGGCTGCTTGGCTCTAATATATCCCCTTCTGCATTCTGCTTGGTGAGGATGGCTGTCTTGGGTTTGCAGTGTACTTACTTTTGGGTCTTCTGTATAACCCGCTATTTAGACTTCTTTTGGAACTCATAAGGACCCATATGAGGAGTGGTCTTACAGTGACTTCTTCAATGAAGATGGAATCGTTCTTGAGTCACAGGTGGTGCTACCGGTAATTTATGAGTTGATTTCATCATTTGTCCCTCTGGCAGGTAAATCTCGCTTAATATTTTCTACATATTTCTGCTTTGTACGAATTTAAACTGTAGAGATTTGGACTGAACTACGTACAAAAACGTGGAATCTTACAAGCAGAGTTGAACAAAAGGAGCCAGATACAAATGATTATAATACTGTATTATTTCATTTACATAAAGTACAAAAACAGTATGAAACTAAGCCATGCTGTTGGAGATGAGGGTTGTGTTTACTCTTAAGGGCAGGTAATGACTGCAGAGGGGAACAAGGGGGCTGCTAGGTGCTGGTAATGTTCTATTTTGTGATCTTTATGGTGCTATATTCAGTTTGTGGAAATTTAACAAGTTGTACATTTTTTTGCATGTACTTAAAAAATATTTAAAGCAGTTTCCTTTAGAACGTTATTTGCTAACAGCATATTTAAATATCTGGGCATGGAGCCCAGCTGGCATGACCCCAGACTTGCCGGTGGGCCCGGAGGTCACCCATGTGCGTCGAGAACCTGAGTGCATCAAGTTATAGAGAGCATGGGGGCTGCAGTGGCTTGAGCGATTAGGAATTTCAACTTAGAGAACCAAACAGAATGGGAAATCAGCCAGATGAAGCCGTCTGCGGCCCTGAGGCACCCGTCCACCCGCAACGTCCTGCGAAAGATGAGCGACCATCCGGAAATTAAGAGAGAAATTGCTAGGAAAAAAAGCTGCTGTCATTACTGGAAGATGTATATGTTGATTCCAAAGATCCTGTATCACCTCTGCGGGTAAAAGATTCTGAAACATGGCAAGAGACAAAGGAATCCAGATTGCCAAAGGGCCATCACTTTGGTATGGATATTAAGAACGTTCCCAAGGGCAAGATTTCCATTGTAGAGGCCTTGACGCTTCTCAATAATC